TAGTTATCCAAATTTCCTCCGATCTTTCAGATAAATCAGTTGACCAACTCCCTCCAGTTGGCATTAACTATAAATTGTTGAACAGCCCCCTGTTGGAAGTGTTCTCATACAGCCAAGGTAAAGTCCTTGACTGGTGACTAAGTGAGGCGGGAAGGGGTCTACTGATATACTCATAACTGCACATTAAGTGACATGTGATCCAAAACTCACAACACCATCGGAGTACCAATCAATACACACAAGACCCTTAAGTTCCAGCCCCTGTCCCCAGATGTTACCATTCCCAGAGAGCCATCCAGCATTGTCTCATTAAGTTATTTCATAATTTGATGGTCAAAAAAGATATTTGAATTGCATATGTACTGCCACAGCTCACCAAAGTCACATGAACACTTTGTAAAGAACTTTATCGATTTTGTTTTATCTATTTACTAAGTCAACAGAATTAATTCTGCAGAATGTACAACATGGTCACTGAAACCCTCTTCTGTACCAAGTGTAGAGCCTTGCATGTGTCCTGGAGTCAGACTGTCCTGCAGCAACTGGATCTGGGCCACTGCTCTGAGTTTTGTGTCATCCTCATGCAGATGTACACTTTCTTTCCACATCCAGTTGTTAGCCCATCATCAAATATATATGCAAAAAATATATATATATATATATATATATATATATATATATATATATATATATATATATATATATATATATATGTGTGTGGATTTGCTGTACCTAAGGTATGCCTGTGATACGTGGCTCCTGCGTGAGCGTGGCCTAGGTAACAACCCTATGCAGGTGTAGCAGATGTCAAGCAGTACCCTCGGGACAGAAGCACGACCACACATGGATGAGATGAGTGTTGGAATTTATTCCCCTTTAAAGAAGAGTAGTATGAGGCAAAATTAGTACAAACACACCGGTAGGCCTACTCTCTCACTCCCGTGCTTCCCGTCTGCATTCACAGTGAGACTGAGCGCGAATGCTTAAAGGAGAAGCGAGATACATTGCACATATACATGTAGGCAACAAAATAAAACAGTATTTCACAAAATATAACAATGTAACATAACAGTTAATACAAATAAACACTCAGCATACTTGCAACATTCCATCATGTAAATACTTCACGAAAAAAAAGTGTATGTAAATATTGTGTGAAATAAACTTCTTTTGATACAATTATGCGGTGTCACTGAATAAGACTGCACCATATGGTAATTGACAATGTAAGTCTAACGAATACTACGGCTTAGACTGTTACTCAATTTAATTCACACATAAAACAAATTATTTAACCATTAAGTGCACAAACATACCTTTAAAGAAGAGTAGTATGAGGCAAAATTACTACAAACACACCGGTAGGCCTACTCTCTCACTCCTGCATGGAAAAACACAGATGGGGATGAAGCGCCAAAACATTTCACGATTAAAAGCAACACTTTCAAAGAGAATTCACTAATTACAGATACACGTCATAAAATATATATTAACAAAGTTTTAACACAATATACACAGTAATAAAGTTACAAAAGAGAGCAAATAGGACATATATATATATATATATGAGAGAGCGAAAGATACCGTCCTTCCCGTCTGCATTCACAGTGAGACTGAGCGCGAATGCTTAAAGGAGAAGCGAAACCTCTTCCTAAGGTGTGCCACTAATTAAGACCCCACCTACAACAATTGGTAGGAACTCCCAGCTGGAACCATTGAAACTAAACATGAATAGCAATTATCAAAAATAAACATTAAATACAAGTTTTGATGAAGTTAACACTTTCAAAAAATAACTTTCAACACAAACAGTATCAAATAAAATACTATAAAGTAAATGATATAAAATCAAATATAAAAGTCCCAATCAATTGGCTACACAGGTAATCATACAACTGTGTGAGAACCACAGTGAGGAGTGGCCCCAGCTTCAGGCCCGGTACACCACACAATATATGGACTTCCTCAATCAACCTAGTGTCACATATAAACCAGAAGACGATGATGAAATAAAATGAAGTTTAATTGATAACTCAGATTCGACACAGTGTGCATAGCACAAACAATACTGGACAACTGAAGAGTGCACAAGAAGGGACTTTAAATACACAGTGAAGACAAAGTAGTGAACAGCTGTGATAATAATCAATGCCCATAGAAACAAATGAGTGGCGGGAAACAAAGACACATGATGAATGAAAACAAACTAAAGGTCCATGATAGCTAAGACAAACAGAACATAACTGACACCTATTGACACTAGGGTGTTATCAATAATATTCCAGGAACCCCCAGAGCCTACAGTGCTGTCCAGCTGCAAGTAGCTGCTCATCATATACAGCCAAGACATCCTGACTAGGCTGGATGTCTTGAAGATGGATTCCACTAAAAAGGTTAGTGGTGAATTTTGGTTAATTAATGCTGGTGTTTATTATATCCCAGCATGACACTGTTTGATGTGATGTTTCATTACATTTACATCATGCTTCATATCATGTCAATTACAGAACGTCAAGAAGCTGGCTGGGACAGCGAGGGGAACAGGACTCTGATTCACCTCTGTTGGCAACAAATTTGGCCATGTGCTCATAAGTGTGCTGACAGCCCAGGAAGGAGCAGGACTGGACATGATGATGGATGGTCTTATGAAAAGGTACCAGATGGCTGATGTGGATCAAACTGCTGTGTTGTACCTGGACTGTGGGTGCTGACGTGGGCGAGACCAAGATCTTGTGATATGCTTGGACATCTGGCAATTTATGCGTAGGATTGCCTTGGGTTGTACAACTAATGCACATCAGCTGTATCCCATATTCATGTCATGGCTGTTAGCATGCATGTTTCTATGCTTTGCAAAGTGACGAGAGAGCTGATGATATCTGGCCTGCCCTGACAGATCTTAGCATGAAGAAGCTGGCTCTCCACATGGGAGGAGGACCAATGAAAAGGAGACTAGCAACATTTTTAAATTAAAGATTGTTGACTACCAAAATGTCATAATATCAATATCTGGTGGAGCTCCGGGGTCACACAGCCCTCACCCTGACCAACTAGGAAGCCAACACCATAGTTGCTATTTGGTGGAACCTGGATGACCGGGATAAGCAGCAGGTGGTGTCAAGTCAAGTCACCTTTATTTATATAGCACTTTATATAATACAGACTGTGTCAAAGCAGCTATACAGTGTTAAACAGGAAAATAATGTTTAAATGATGCAGACAAAATTCTATTCTGCAGTAAAGCATCTCCAAAAACAAAAAGGACAATTGTAAACAGTCAGTTTTTCAGTTAAAGTTCACTGTTGATTCAGTTCAGTTGGTGTACACAGCTTGACACCAGAGGCAACTGCTAAGTGGACCAAAGAGGCCAACTCATACCCCTGGAGTGGAGAGCACCAGCAGATGTGTGCTGGGTGCAAGAATTGCACCTGCTCAGTGATCTGACTGTTGCCATCTGGTGGAGACCATCTTCATCAGGCTTTCACTATTCACCCAAGCCCTAAAAAGCAAGGGAACCCTGTTGAGATTGTTCTCTGATCCTTCCAGACTATTGCAGGATGAAGCAGATTGTACTGGGCAACAGCTTGGTAATGAGGGGAACATCAATGCAGCTGATGGAAGTTAACTAGAACACCTTGATTCAGTGGTACACAAACAGACAGAAAAAAAACAGGAGCCGTCTGTGCAGCAGGTCAGGCAAAGCAGAGGCAGACTTATGTTAGGCGACCCACTCTCAGACCCAAGGCACCAACGCAGAGTCAGATGTTAGTTACACCATCAGCACCTGGAGCATCATTGCTGAAGTTACCCAGTATATTTATACCAGCAGTGCCAGGTTTCCAGGGTGTGCCATTGTTCCAGGGTGTGCAAATGGTTCAGAGAATGCAGATGGTCCAGGGAATGATACAGCCACTGTTACAGCCTGCAGCTGTGTAGGCACCAGCTCACAGCCTGATGCACCAAATCCAGAAGCCATGCCCAAGAGACCCTACAGGAAAACTGTAGTGGTGAACATTCGTAAGAAGTGCGGGCAATTCAAAACAAGTGCAATGGGACATGGCCAATACAGGGGCAGGGTGTACTGCCCACAGACTGAGACTGTTACAAAACAGTTGTGGTTAGAGGAAATGTGGAACCATTTCCAAATAATTAATATATTTTTATGTATTGTAACGGGGTGAAGAATCACACGACAAGAAATCTCAATCAATACCCCGGAGGGTGGATTTATTGGGGTGAGGGGTGCTCGTGAGAAAGGAACAGGTAGGTGCTCCGGTGCTGTGAGTGCTCTCTTCCGTCTTCCCAGTGCAGAGGGTCCGTGCAGTGCTCCTGTGGGGGCTGGTCGGTCACACGCTGCTTTCTGTGGGGAAAATGAGAGGGCGAGTTAGTGCTCAGTCTCATGGAGGAATTTCCTAGATGGCAGGGCTTGCATGGCTCATGTAGCCGCCGCCTGATGAGGTGCAGCTGTGACCGATCAGCCTGTGATGATGATGGCCACTTGTTTCCAGGGCGACGCTGATGAAGCTTCGGGACGCTCGTCACAGTATATTGTATATAGTGTGAACAGTTGTTTAAATAGAGTTTACCAATAATACTTGTGTTGAATATTATTTAACTTATTTAATGTTTTATTGTTTTTTTATTATTTAACATTTTTTAATTGCTGAATTGTCTACCATTGCTGAATTGTTCTTGATGTTAGACCCAACATGTCTCCTAAAAAAGTTTTCATAAGTTTTGTTTTTACATTCAAACATCTATGATTAACAAATTATCTTGAAAATGAAATAATTTTCCTTTATACAACTCTCTTGATGCAAGAACCTTTACAAACCAATTGCTAGTACAAGATTTCTCTGTTCAACACATCCTTCTGTGGGAGCGCTGAGAACACAGGAAGGAAGTGGGGTTGGGCTGTGCTGTATGTTCATGGAGCCCAAAGTAATTGACATCTATTGTTCCAGCAAAAGTTCCATTTCACTGACATTTATGACCTTAAAGCTTCTAAAAAATATTTTTGCCTCATTTTTGTGCAGCTATAGTAGAGTTAGAGTATTTTAGGCAAAAGACTGCCATCAGAGAGACTGTGCAACGTGTCTCCACTGGACTACGAAAAAACAATGCTTCTGTAGACATTTGATTGAGGATATCCTTTAGAGACTGGATTATTTTCCTTCACACTTTCCTGATTGTTGTGGGCTAATGAGTGAAAGTGAGCAGTTCCCAAAGAGGTCCTCCAGACTGGATTATCAGAAATACTTTAAAACAACACTCTGGAATATACACTAAAGAATGATGTGCCTTTTTCAACTGAATTTCTGTGTATTAATCAAAATCATTTAAAAAAAAAAGAAAATGCTGAGAAGAAAAACCATTCATGTAGCTCTTTGGGTAGCATGTGGAATATTGGTAAGTTTTAATAAACATATTTAAAATAATACTAATACTAATAGTCTTCTTGTAAAAACTTGATTTCTTCTTTCAAAAAATACTTTCCTATATGTGGGACTTATGCATGCTGTTTTATGAGTCCAGTAAAGTGTTTCTAACTTTTTTTGTCTTTTTTCTTTTTTTTATGTAGAGTACCGTGGTGGTAGACACAAAGGAATGTAGCATTAAAGTTGTGAAGGCCATTTCTACCACAGACTCAATATGCATCACGCTGGACAACGAAGATGTGAAATGCCAATACACAGTTTCTGTCAGGGACCGACACAATGATTCAAAAGACTGTCATCAAGACCAGGAACATTTCACACATTTTGAGTGCAAAACTGAGAATTTAGATCCTGGAACGTGGCATCAGCTCGATATAATATCAAAAGTGGATGAAAAACAACAGACTCAACACACTGTCTCCCTGCCAACTAGTAAGAATCCTGCTTTTTAATATTTGAATGTTGTATTCTTTGCATTGTGTTCAATCTGATACAAGTCAAGTCAAGCATCGCTACATCATTACTATCGCCGAGCAAACCTCTATAGCAGTATTAAACTTGAGCGTACGTAACTCACAGCGTTTATTATCCAGACATGAATCATTCCTCAAATCATGTTGTTTATTGAAAGAGGAGCTTTTATAGGATGTTATTTTACTAAGGGTTAATACTTAGAAGTGGTTAATTACAGAGACACAGTTAAAAAAGTACACAACAATGGTGACTCTAAAGATAAAAATGCCTGTTTTTGTCAAATGCCATTAAATTTGAAAATTGAATTCTTTTTTAAACATCATAACTCATGCTGACATAGAGTGATGGTATTTCATCAAATCAGTGTAAAACAACAAAAACAACAACAGCAGTAATGATATAATAAAATGACAAGCAAAACACAAGCTGTCTCTTCAACATTTTTCTAATTTGGCTGGCACAAAAATGTGGCCTCATATTTTTAGAAAGCAAACTTACCATCATATAAACCACAAAGAATATTATTTACTCACTGTTGCCAGTTCCACAAATGTGGCCAGGTTGTAAAGAAGTGGTTGTGCAATATTTTTTAATTGTATCATTTACTATTGATTTATTTATTACTGCGAGCATGATATATATAGTTTGTTTGATGCTAAATAAATAAATGAAAAAAAAAAGATTACTTTAACTAAAACGTTCTGTGCTTGCAAAGATAATATGTCTGTATAGTATTTTTTTTGTTGTTGCCATTTTGCATCCATATTTGCTGTAAGATGAGATGTATCACATATGTATTTTTATTATAATAATACATGATATAAAAATTATTTAAAAAAAAATCTGGATGCAGATACACAATGTGCGAGCTGAGAATAAAATAAAGAGAGTAAAATAAAATAAACTTTGCTTTGTTTCAATAGTGCTTTATAATTAAAATAATTGTATAAAATAATATTGTGTTAAATATGTCACAGCCACTGGAGCCTCATCAATAGGGCACATATGTGCTTACTAAAGTGCTGCAGTGAGGACATATTTTTGTAGGCTAATCTGGAAGTTAGCATCACCCCCGACCGACAAAAAAAATGACATGATAATCTTCACAAATTGACAACCTTTATGAATTTAGCCTATATACAACTGCCAGAAGTAATAAGTTAAATGTGGACTATAAACTAACTACACCACTGTTGCATTACTTTAAACGTCACCACCACTAAGTTTCAACAACTCTTTCAGTCTTGATTTAAAAAAAAAAACATTTTCCCTGAAAGTCTGAGTTAGAATAGTTTGCAAGAGCACGATTATAAATACTGAGGATGTAAAAGTGGATTCATGAGTACATGAGTTTTCCTGTTTGACTTGATGTTTCATGACCCTGATCGACTCTGTAGCCCCATTTAACTTGTTAGCAACCCTCTTTTTGAAGTAAAGTAAAAGCTTTAAAAATCACAAAGGGGTATTGTAGAATAAAACATGAAAATATCTTGAGCTTGTAAAAACCACAGACACAGACATTATTTCAGATATTTAACCAAGAACCAATTCAAAAACCCACTTCAGAACATTGGAACAGGAAGTGCAAAAATTCTAACTAGTGTCAGGGTTTTGACCTACAAAAATATATAATTCCTGCAGCACTCTGTACCTTTTAAGTAAACATAACCTTGCTTTGGAGCAGGCAGAGAGAGTCTGCCCAAAATGACTCGGCACATTTGTCTGAACTGACCCATTCAGGAAATTCTCAAATTCATAATTCCATAAAAATTGTTTAAGTAAAATGTTTAAAATGTGGATTTCTGTACACACTTAGACTGAGAATGAAGTTGAAGTATTAACACACTTTTGTACTTTAAATCCCCTTTATGGGAGCAACTAGATGAAACTACTTGAAAAAAACACAGATTATGTAAATCTAGAGTTCTATGTGTTGAGCCAATTCAAATGGCCAAGTGTCAAAAGCTCTTATAAATATGAGGAAAGGTTGGCCTGTACAGATAATGTGCTGTGTATATGTAACTGGGCTAAACTCCAAAACAGGAGTTTGACTGTGGGTCATTTCTTTCAGTTCGTTCACCCCCTCCCATCCGGCTCATTGTTCTTTTGTTCTAATATATACAAAGACGCGTTAGCGCTCAGAGATCTGATTACAGTGACAGTTATATAACATGTACAGTGGACCCCAACGGGATATTTAGGTTACTTATGATTGCATTTAAGAACAAAATATAAAAAGTGAAATAGAAAGTGACTAAAAATCTGTAGCTGTAAATATGCATTAAAATATCTCTAGGCATATCAGACAGAGGCTGCTTCATACAGATTTCTGTGATTAAATCAAAAGCAATGGTAGAGGCAGTTATTCTCATTTTGTATTTTAGTTATTCAGCCGTGTATTTGATTAGCTATCTTAGATAATTAACATGATTAACATGATCAAAAATTGTTAAATAAACAATGACTGGGTCTCAAGGAGAAAGAGAGTGAAAAAAGTCATTAGCAGAGGTTGCCTGAATTTGACTTTCAACCTTAAATGTTTCTTATCCTGTTTTCTCACAATACCCTTTCAACAAAGCCTAATTAGGAAGAGCTTTCTTAAAAAAGCAAAGAGCAGCGCTGTCATGTTTGCACATAGGTTGTTAGACATTCTGTTCCCTTCAGTGAGAATAATTCACAGCAGGGCACATTGTGTCCACACCTTTTCTTTTCTATGTAATCTATCATATTTTAAAGATTGTTATGAAAACGTCTGTCAGAAACTAAAAAACCAAAGCGATCACTGCTTATCATCTGCATGATTTGCACCATTTAATCTATAAATATTACTTCATTGCAATACGTACATTTAATTGTGTCATATATACACTTTCTAAAACATGCTTTTAGTCAAGTAAGTAAATTTTAGAGGTTTTCAGTATTAATTGCTTTTAACTTGACATGCCATATTGAAAAAATGCATCTGCGTCAGTCATGGCACTAAACAGTTAAGCTACAGCCAAAGTTCTAAAAAATTTATTATAATATATGTCTGCCACAGACAGATTCACTTTAATCTATTTTTATGTAGATTTTAACATATTTAATGCTTTTCAAATTGTCCTTATTTTAACATATTGTATGTTTTTTTTTTGTATTTCACACTGTTGACATTTCTGTATGTCTCTTGGTTAGGACCTTCAGCAGTGGAAAATCTCTGGGTTTCTGGGGACACAAACAGCTTGGAAGTTTCATGGCAGCCTGGTCCAGGCAAAACAGAGCAATATCAGATCAAGCTTATAGACAGCAGAGGCATTGGTTCTATCTGGAACACAACAGTTGTTAGCACAGCAACCTCGTATACAATAAAAGGGCTGATTCCTGGCCGACTCTACAATGTCACTGTCATTACAGAGGTTGGAGAGCTTCAGAATTCAGCGTCTAGACAAGCACAAACAGGTATTTTGCATTGCATCAAGTAATGAATGAAATAACAAATGAACAGATTTGACAATATACACATTAAAATGTTGCTTCTGTCATCACTCTTTTATAAATGTGAATGTGTGTGCGGCTGTGATCATATATTTGCCTGTATGATTTCCTCTGCTGTATTTTTAGGCAGACATGTTAACACCCTTTCCTGTTTTGAGTGCTGAAATGTCACTTGTGGCTCATGTTATGTCACGTTACGTCATGTTGTCTCAATCATGAAACATGTTGCACTGATTATAAATTCCTACATTCATTTAATTTGTGCCATTTTATTTGATTGATGTTCGTTGTCGATCTTTGAGATCTTAACAGCAAATCCTCTAACATAGGGTGACCATACGTGCCATTTTCCCAGGACGCGTCCTGGCCAGGATTTCTATATTGCCTAAAATATCTAGGTTTTGGCTTTGTTTGCGTGTGCAGACCGATCGGTGTATGACGCGTCCTGGGAAAATGGCACGTATGGTCACCCTACTCTAACATACTTAACTTGATTACATTCAGTTTATTTGGCTTATCAAATCACTGTGAAGCGGCTTAGACACAATCTGCATTGTATAAAGTGCTATAGATCAAATGTGGTCAGGTTCAGTCATTCAACATATTTTTGAGTTGAATAAAACCAAAATAATTTAGAGAATAATGAAGAGTATAAAATAAAAACACTTACGGCATTACAAAAGATATCAAATATCTTGCAAATGATTGCATCTTCAATAAAAGTTGACACTTAAACACTCGGTCACAACAACCAGTGATTGATGTAATGAAATTGTATTTTTTACAGAAGTTCGCTCAGAGGCAATAACAAAAGACAACTAACATACAACTTAGCACAAGAAGCGTTATAGCTAACAAAAGTAATACATTTTACACACACTCTTACACTAAAGTAAAGTCACACACCACACAACACATCTCAGGGGGGCGAGACATGGCACCATTTTTAACTAAAAATGGAAAATGTTTTATACGATTTGGCCGTTCATTTACATGACAATGGTGTTTTGGGGGCCAGGGAATGCAAACTTTTGAAAACATGTTTCAAAGTGCACGCTTTTGAAAATGATACTGTTATTGTCTCTTTGTATTTTGAAAAATGCTATACAAATAAACATGAATTTAACAGATTTTTTATTTATTTATTTATTTATTTACAAATGTCCTTAGTCACCTTAGTCAATACTTCAAAGTCAACATGAAACAGTGTTGCGTCTCATTTTGGTTGAAAAAGTGGGTATTATATACCCTAGTGGAGCAAGAAGATCTCTTTATCTCTTTTGGACTTTAAACATAGGCATTATATCATATTTAGCGAGTAATGTAACTGACCTCTCCATCTCTTTTTACAGTACCAGCTGCTGTTTCTAACCTCAGAGTGGAGAACAATGGTGACCAGAACACCCTCAGAGTTCTGTGGGATAAAGCCTCTGGTGATGTGGACAGTTACCTTGTCAGTCTGACATTACCTGGTTCAAACTCTATTGAAAAAGCCTTGTCCCCTAATAGTACAGATGTGGTGTTTGACAGTTTGAGTCCTGGAAAGACCTACCAAGTATCAGTCAGCACCAGGAGTGGAACACTTTCTAATAAGACAAGGATCACAGTAAAAACTGGTAAGTACAGTTTATTTAACTCATTAACAATCCAAGACACATTTTTTTTCAATAGTGAATTATTTATTCATAAATATCATTACATTTTGCTTTCCTAGTGTTGATGCTCATGTGGTCGTAATCATTGTGGGATGTGTTGCGCTACTCAGACAGAATTTAAATTTGGTCTAATCAAGGTCTTACTAGGCATACAAGAAACTTCCAGGCATGTTGAAGCTAATCGGCAAAAGTATACGTATACCACTGCACCAAAAGAGACCGATTGAAAGGTGTACTGTAAAAAATCATGTGTTTTACTTATCTTTTGTAATCTGGTTGACCAAAATGCATCTTATTACCAGGTGTAAACAGGGCCTGTGTGATGGACGAACAAAGACAAACGCAGTAATTCCCCACATTTAGAAGACTATTTAACACTGGCCTCAGGCCTGAAGAAAGCCAAAAGCCAGATTTGAAAAGTGACCTATTATGCCCCTTTTTTGTAACATACGTCTCAGGTGTCCCTAGAATAGGTCTTTGAAGTTTCAGCTCAAAATACCTTTAGGCTATTATTTCATGTTGTAAATGCCCGTTTTGGGGTGGAAGCAAAAACATAATTTTCTCATGACACTGCAGTTCTTTGTCATCATGAAAGTTTATTTTTTGCATGCATTTGAAAGTCTTGTCCGTTTAAACTTTCAAAACGCTGTTATATTTAACAGTTGCATTTTATCATTTGCATTTAACATTGTGTTTTCCCTATTAGAACCAGGGAAGGTGTCAGATCTGGTGATGGAGAACCTGTCTGATCGTGGTGCCCTAAAGATCACCTGGACACCCCCTTCCGGAGAATGGGAACACATCCGTGTGGTGCTTTCAAATGGAAGTGAAATCCTTGCTAACCAAACTGTGGACAGAACGGCAAAGCAAACACTCTTGTCATGGCTAAATCTGCATCCTGGCAAAGTGTACAGCGTGGCGGTCAGTGTAGAGAATGGAGGCCTGGCTAATACGGTCTATTACGAGGAGGAAATAGGTAACCATGTGTCAATACTCTGAATCGGTGGTTCTCAACTCCAGTCCTGGGGTCCCACCAGCACTGCACAATTTGTATGTCTTCCTTATTTAACACACCTGATTTAGATCATAGGAGAGAGCTCCATGGACTGAACTGGCAGCCTGGTCTCATGTTTATACGTAGGTATTAATACGTAACAATTACAAGCACAAAACGTAAATTTTTGTATGTTTTTATTAATGCTAAAACGTACAATTTAGATGTATTTCAACGTTTAAAACGTACAAATCGCTACGTATATTAGCTAAAAAACGTACAAATATTTACATATCTTTTATATCATTAAGATATTCGTATCAATGCATTTATATCAATAAGCGATTTAGATTTTTAGACACCTTAACCTACCTCCAAACCTAATCCTACCCATTTTACAGCGAATATGCATTTTTATAATTTTATTGATACGCAATTTAGATTTTTAGACCCCTTAACCTACCCATTTTATAGCGAACATAAAAGGATATAAAACGCAAATGACCGAAATATGCAGGAAAATAACCATTTTAGTAACATAGTTTTAGTCTCTAATCCCACTCCTACTTATAAACCTAAACATTTCTGTACAGAATAAAAAACATGACAGACAGATAAATGCAATTACAATCATTTATGTATTGCAAAAATGTCAAAAGCAGCACCAAATGTAATCCAAATGATGCGTTGCACCCGCAGTCCTCTCTGGCAGAATACAGTAGGTTTGTGTGATCCAGAGCAGAATTTATGTTGTTAATCGCAGAAAATATTATCCAGATAATTTTCCCGATCCACTCCGTGAACTCGTGAATGCGCGCACGCATCATTCAAACACACCTCACCAGAAACACAGCTTGTCGCAATCTGTGATGAATGCAGGCGAGAGCCAATGAGCGTTCGATTATCCTGCCGTAAAACCTGTCGTTTGAAGCGGCAACATTTGAATTTGTAAAGAGCGTGTCAGTCAGCGCGGGCTTTGCTGCTTACGGTCACTAGACTCGCTGCTCGGGATGGAGAAGAAGATCGCCGAAAAAAGGCTTGGATTTGGGTCTGTTCCTCGCAGTCGTATGGATTCGGAAGATCTGGATTACGGCGCACAAATAAAATTGTTTCATTTCGTAATTATGTTGCATTTTTGGTGTATTTTATAGTTCTATTGTTAGTCACAGCATGTTGGGGAAAAAGCGCCTTTTGTGGCCTACGACAATCAAAGTAAACATTAGATGACAAGTAAAGGTTAAACGATCGCAGAAATGTTATTTATTTTAAGGTTTAAAGTGAAGTCTTGTTTAACATTATGTAGGCATATTCTTGGAAACGAGCTGGCAGCAGAAATCACACAACAAAACGAAATGTTATCATTTCATAAGTAAACAATTTAATAATGCAATTGAAAACAAGTTAATTCATATGACAACAAAAAACAAATAAAATTAATGCCGCGATTTCAATATTCATAAGGAATCATTTTTAGGTGTCGTAAATACGTCAATTTTGTACGTTTAGATGCTGAAAATACGTCAGTATTGTACGTTTTAGTGCCTGTAAAAACGTATGTAAATGTACGTTTTATAGAACCACATGTTACGTAAAATACATACGAATTATCATGAGATCACGTTGGAACTGGGTGTGTCAGATAAGAGACATACAAAATGTGCAGAGCAGTGGGTTTCCAGGAGCGTAGTTGGGATTTTCTGCTCTAAATATTTATTAAAAAAATCTAAAATTCATTAAGGAGAAGACACATTTACACCTGTTTTTGAAATTGCTTTCTGTTGATAATTAATTATAATTCATTTTAACATTGCTATACTTGTGTGTAAGCCTTTAAAAGTGCTTGGGCCTGAAAACGCTTGGAATTTCAATTTGATACTAAAGAACTCTTTTCAGTCCGCTTTGTTCTCCAGTTTAATCTTTTTTCTGACACCCATTTCAAGTGTTGGAGTCTCTACTAATTAGCTGATGAGTTGAATCAGGTGTGTTTGATTAAGGAGTGTTGGCGTACTCCAGGTACGTGGTTGGGAACCACTGCTATGGTGCATCTCAATAAATGCATAATAAATTAGAATGTCGTGGAAAAGTTTATTTATTTCAGTAATTCAACTCTAATTGTGAAACTCGTGTATTGAATGCACACAGACTGAAGTAGTTTAAGTCTTTGGTTCTTTTAATTGTGATGATTTTGGCTCACATTTAACAAAAACCCACCAATTCACTATCTCAACAAATTAGAATATGGTGACATGCCAATCAGCTAATCAACTCAAAACACCTGCAAAGGTTTCCTGAGCCTTCAAAATGGTCTCTCAGTTTGGTTCACTAGGCTACACAATCATGGGGAATGCTGATCTGACAGTTGTCCAGAAGACAATCATTGACATCCTTCACAAGGAGGGTAAGCCACAAACATTGCCAAAGAAGCTGGCTGTTCACAGAGTGCTGTATCCAAGCATGTTAACAGGAAGTTGAGTGGAAGGAAAAAGTGTGGAAGAAAAAGATGCACAACCAACCGAGAGAACTGGAGCCTTATGAGGATTGTCAAGCAAAATCGGTTCAAGAATTTGAGTGAA